AGCAACACGAACAAACTCACGGAAGAATTGATATTGGAAATTAAAAAAAGAATTAAAAGGAAAAAAAATAAAAATATACCAGCACAAGATTTGATAGTGTGAATCTTGAGGAGCAAAACAAGAACACTTGCCAAATGGGTCATGTCCCCTGCTAACCTGAATATATTCATCTTCTCTCTCTACTCTCTCTCTCTCTCTCTCTCCTCTGTTCTTGGGTATGAACTGAAACATAAATCTCTCTGGGGTTGATGCAAACAACATAATATTTTTATTTTTCCTTTTTTCTCTTTTTTTTTTTTGTTTTTGTTTTTATTTTGTTTTTTAAATCTTTGACCAGTTAAGGTTATAATAATAAATTGGTTAATTTACACTTACACCCTCGAGGAATGGTAAAATAACTTTAAGGTCCATGTGGTATTGGTAATTATAACCACACCCCTGAAACGATTATCGTAACCAAGATTTCATGGTCTGGGGATCGATATGCATTATATTTGTTTAATGCAAGGCCGTTAATGCTACCATAGACAGAAAATTAATAAATCTTAGATGAAATAATAAGGTTTTAAGAAATATTATGAGTGTCGTGTCACATCTTATTTTTACGTTGTCCGTAGCGTTGTCCGTAGCACTGTCTGAAACTATGTAGACCTCAAAATTATTTCGATATACCTGGGAAGTGTAGGTGTGGTGTACGCTAATAAATTAATAAATAAAATAGTACTAAAAGACGCAAGGCACAAAGGAATATGCCGCAAACGTGTGTTGTCCAATAAGCTTTTAAGTTTGTGACAATTATGAATTACTATTATTTAGTATTTACATTATTATATTACTAGAAATCATAGATTATCAAAACAAAAGAGAAACAAATCTTTTTAATTTTATTTTGTTAAGAAGATCTTCATAATCTTTGATGTTGTCAATAAATTATTTGAAAAAATATACTTTCAAGATAACAAATGACAAAGTGATGTCAATGAATGTATGATGCACTAGCCCAATTTTCTAAAGTAAATGAATGAGCCCTCAATTGATGGAACTTGACAAGTCAGCCTATTCTTTTTTGAAATGAAAACGCCTGTCACCTTATTGAGACTCATTTTAATTTATTTTTTTTGGATAAATATGACGTAACTCATGTAGGGCTGGGACTGGGTTGGGTCGGTCGATTACCAGCCTAAAAACCGATCCATCCATCAAACCATTTATGCTCAAATTGTAAAACCGTTGCCGACCCAACCTTTCTGGGTCGGTTGATGGTTGGCAACCGAATATTTGGTTCCGGAATGGATTGGTTGATGGTTTATACCCGTCACCTAGTTCACTTAAAAAAAATCAAATTTTGGAGTAAAAATATTCACATTCAGCGTGATGCCACGGTGCGATCATCATTTATCAGTTGAAAATAATAAATAACAATTTAACGAAAAAATATAATTAGAAAATTCAAAGTAATTTCAAACATGCATTAGAGTTTTTTAGTGGAGTTTTGTGGCCTTCTTGTTTAAGCTTAGGCATGAAGAAACCGGTGGAAGATTTATGTCAATTTATTTTTTCCTTTGTCGATTGTTTTTAAAATTTAAAATACTGATTATTTTCACAATTTGAATAATCATTTAAGAAAACACGACTTTTATTTTATATTTTTAATAAGATTTTAATAATATAGTTGGATGACCGATAATTATCGGTCAACCAGCTTTTGATAATATTAGAAACCACCAACCGACCCATTATAGATGGGTTGGTTGAAATTTCCGACCCGATCCGGTGGGTCGGTTAAAAATTGATTATCCACCTAAAAATATGGTCGGTAATGGGTCGGTTGGTGGATAAAAACCAACCCAGTCCCAGCCCTAAACTCATGTGTGGTTTGAGTTTGTACTTTCAAGGTGTTTTGATGTATAAGTTATTAACCAAACATCTTTATTATTTTAGGTTTATGGGTTATATTTCTTTCGCTAATAAGTTCATCCCTTTAATATGTATTATAAATGAAGGAAAAATTTAATGTATATGATAAATTATCCCCAAATTTTTACATTCAATTCCTAATTGTAACCTTAATTTAATCAATTTTGACCATAAAAATCTAATTTTGATTTTTTTTTTTTTCAGAAATTATTTTTTTGCCGCCGTTCTCCAGCGTTGACTTTTCGGTTTTTTTTTTTGGTCTGTTTATCCGGCTGCCGGTTCCCGGCGATGATTTTTTTTAGTGGTTTTTTTTACGCCCGCCGCTAAACATTGATCGTAATTGTGCTGTCATTAACAGTAATTATAATGTCACTGACAGTAAATTAACGTAATTGTACTGTCAATGGCAGTACAATTAGAGTCAACGACATTATTATTATTTTTTGGTGTTTTTTTTAATTTTGTCTGATTTGTTGACAACTCAACGTAATTATATTACTGTTGTTGATAGTAAAATAACTGTAAACACAATAATATTACTGTCAACCACATTAATATTATTATGTTTTTGGGTTTTTTGTTTTGTTTGAGTTATTGACGGAGTACCGTAATAATATTACTGTCTACTATTGTAATATTACTGTAAACACAATAATATTACTGTGGTTGACGGTAATATTACTCTTGTTACAGTAATATTACTGTCAACCAGAGTAATATTAATTTTTTTGACTTTTTATTATGTTTACCTTTGTTGAACGGTCAACATATTAATATTACTCTATTACACAATAATAATGACTTTTGTTGTGTTAATATTATTGTGCTAAAGATTAATATATTAATATTACTGTGATAAATTGTAGTATAGTTAATTTTACTGTGGTTAACAGTAATATAGTTAATATTACTGTTTAAGCAGGGGACAAAAAAGATGTTAAAGAAAAAAATTTCAAAAAAGTCAACGCAGGAAACCGGTGGATAAAAATAAGGGAAGAAAAAAAAAAGTCAACGTCGGAGACTGGCGGTGACGGACGAAATTGTCCATAAAATTGTGTCTTGGGTCAAAATTGAATAATTTGTGGAATTTGTGGTCAAATTGAGGTTATATTAAATTAAAGGATGAAATTGGAGTATATTAAAATATGATGGGCTATTTTAGTGTTTTGCAAACCTATGGGGCTGAGCAAAAAAACCGAGAAACCGAAAACCGAAAAAACCGAGCCGATATGCACCGTCCCGATTTAAAACCACATATACGGTAATTTTTTTGTTGAAAAACTGAAAATATCGGTTTGTATGTGGAGAATAATAAAAATATTACCGAACCGATTTTCCGAACCGAACCGATTTATACAAAATGATGTCGTTTTGATATATAATATAAATACTTACCCTAGCGTGCCTCTAGCTTTCGCGCCTCCATGTGACATATTTTTCTATTAATTAATTTTGGGTTGTGACGTGTTTTTTATTAATTAATTTTCGATTGTTATTTGTTAACTTTCTCAAATAAATATAATGAAAGTCCAAATATGTCGGTTTAATGCCGAACCGATTCGAACAAATAGACGAAATCGAAACCGAAAATAAACCAAATTGTTACCGAAAACCAAAAATTCGATTAACACCGAACCGAAAAAACCCGACATATTCGGTTTTTAAAATATAAAAAGCCGATATTATCGGTACGTGTTTGGTTTATTGGAAAAACCGAGCCGTTAGTGCACACCCCTACAATCCTCTGGACCATGTGTGAAATTTTTTGTAAAAGAGTTTATTGTCTGGACCCCTTTATGAATAAGTACCCATTGATGAATTTATTTATAAAGTGCCCTTCAATATACGCACATAACCCCTGCGGTTTGAGTTTTGTGAACATGACCCCTTGTACTTTTAATATAAGCACATCACCTCCTATGGTATTCCATTTGGTAAATAATCATACTCATTAGGAAGAAGAATTTTTTGAAAGGACAAAGTGATTATATGCTTATATTAAAATACAAGCAAGTCCTAAACTATATTGAAAATACGAGGCGTTCATGTGCACAAAGTTCAAATCAAACGAGGTAACTGCTATTTACCCTCAATTTTTCTTTTCATTATTTCAAAATAAAATGTGTTCGTTGAGCTTTTCAATTAACTTAAAAAATGTTTGCGATCAATTTCAAAAGTTTCTCTCTCTTTTAGCAGAATTCTAACAACTACAACACTAAATGTATTCACTAAAATACGAACAAAATCATTTTAATTTTCAAAATCGTCCTTCAAATTACATTTTTTCCCCAACACATTTTGACATAATTTAAATTGAAGTCATTTAAAAAAAAAAAAAAGTATTAGAAAGCAAAATTAGACAAATAAATTTTGTTTTTCTGAAACAAATATCATATCAAAACTTGAGAATACAATGACTTCAATTCCCTAATAATCAATCCAAAGGCTTAATTAATTTGAAGGTGATGGAGAGCACACCAAAAGATCTATTGCTACACAAAATTGTGCTAACCCTAGTCGTCTTTCACAAAACATAACATCAGCGAAAATGATTCTCAAACGATTTGGAAAATAAATGACAAAACAAGCAAGAAACCGAAACTAAACAAGAGTGTTACTATCGAGACATGGGGCGAAGCATTAAGCGTAGAAGAGTAAGGTACTACGGGTCCCATGCCTGGATATAGGCCTCCGCCGCCACCATAGAAAGGTGTAGTGGTGGTGGTTCCCGGTGGTGGCGGTGGTTCATTGATAGTCGCCGGAGTTGTACCTTGTGTGGTTGTGCCTGCAGGCATCCCTCCTCCTTGTGCAATCATTCCTCCAGCCGTGCTGAAATTTTGTAGTACCAAAATATGAAAATACAGAAAAATTACTAATTTTAGACATGTCCAAACTTTGGAACTATTTATTTTTGGGAAAAATATAGTTTTCAACACTCAAGTTTGAACCAATTTCGCATTTGGTCCCTCATGTTTCAAAAATTCAACACTTTTAGTCACTTCTGTCAGTTTTCTATTAAAACTAACGGAATCAAACAAGTACCCACCACTACCGTAACTGACGTACTAAGGGTAAATTGACGGAAATGACCAAAAGTGTCAAATTATTGAAACACGAGGGACCAAATACATTTTTTGCGAACATAAGGGACTAAATATGACATCGTTGCAAACCTGAGGGATGAAAACTGTAAATTTCCCATTTATTTTTATTCGGATTCTCGGTACTCATACAGTCGTACTAATTTCAATCTGATCCGTTCGATTTCCACCACAAGGTAAGAATATTATATATCGAGTCTCTTCAGGTTTGAAAAAATATGAATCTTGTCAACGGACGTGCTATTGGCCCTTACTATTAGTCAGTAGAACCTTATAGCGGTAACCAAACGAGTTCTTAGTGAACGAATATGCAAGTATTCTCAGTATCTTTATAATCAGTTCTCCATTCAAGCTAACCTAAAAATATTGGGGATGTTTGGTTTTATTTCCAAAACCAATTTCCAGTTCTATACTATTCATAAAACCGAGATCATGTTTGTTTCACAATTTTATCCAGAAAATCCCATTTTTTCCTATCAAATTTCTATTGAAAATACACTATTCATACTTTTTTCAATTTTCAAACCTACTAAAACCTACTACTAACCTATATATTTTATTCCATCAACTCATTTCTCTCTCCTCATTAATATTCACACTCTCTCTCCTCTCATTTCTCTCTCCTCATTAATATCTACACTCTCTTTCCTCTCAATTTACTACTACTAAAAATACTAATACTAATAATAATAATAATAATAATAATAATAATAATAATAATAATAATAATAATAATAATAATAATAATAATAATAATAATAATAATAATAATAATAGTAATAATAATAATAATAATAATAATAATAATAATAATAATAATAATAATAATAATAATAATAATTATTATTATTATTATTATTATTATTATTATTATTATTATTATCATCACTATCATCATCATCAATCATTATATTCTACTTTTGCACGTACTTTCGTAGAGAAAATTCACCACAACCAAACATATTCTCATTTCTACACCTACATAAAACTAAAAATACACCTTCATCCAAACATATTCCCATTTTCTACACAAAAACCAATAATCTACTTTTTCCATCAGAAATTTTGAAAACTAGAAATTCATTTTGGAAACATAACCAAACATCCCCATTACTTGTCGAAAATATCCATATTCCAAATTCCATTCAAATTTGCACACGAATTCCTTTACGCGGGAAAATTATAGTACGGTAAAGAAAAACAAGGGGTAAAAAGCAGATAAGCAGCTTTTGGAAAAAGCAGCAGTAAGCTCAGAAAAGCTAAAAGCTGCAAAACAAGACCAGTAAATGTACCTCGGAGATGATGGATATACACAAGATCCATAACCTGGAAACAAAAATAAAAAAATTAATAAAACTAATATAATTAACAAAATAAAATATAAAAGTAGAAAAATAAGAAAGGGCATATTGCATCTCACCCCCTATATTTTTTTATTTTCGCACTTTTACCCCCTCAATTTTTTAAAAAGTGAATGTCTTAGTTCAAAATTTTATACTTGTTGGCTTGTTGCACATTGCCCCGATAGCAAAATTCCGATGGATTATTAACCAGAATTTAGTTTTTTCTTTGCACGTTACGTCGTCGTAAATGTTATTTTTGTTGCAAATTGCCCCTTAAAATATTATTTTTGAACACATTACCCCTTAAAAATATTTATATTTGTTGCACAATGCCCATGGAAAATTAGTTTTTGGTGCAAAGTTCAACAAAAATAATAGTTTGAGGGGTTGTTACCTCTTTTCTGAATTTTTAGGGTGAAATTGCTAAAATTAAAAATTTATAGGGGGTGAATTGCATTTTATTGTCCAATAATAAATACGAAAAAATCCAAACACAAGAACTTGAATAAAAGCCCACAAAATCTCTACCAATTAAAACACAGAAAGAGTAATTTTAAAAAATTAAAAAACGAACTTGGGTCGGTGGTGGCGATGGTGGCGGTGCCGGAAAAAGAACAGGCGGCGGCGGAATCGGCGTTGCGCTGGTAATAGCTGTTGTAAGCATAGGAGGCGTGGGCTTGCACGGTGTTCGGAAGATAGCACAGCCCGGAAGACTGAATCGGCGCGCAGTCGGCGCCGGCGAAGCATGCGTAGTCTAGAGCTGTCTGCAAAGCCTCGTCGCTCGCCTCACTTCTCACCACGCACCACGTGGCCGCCGCCGCCGCGCCGGAGAAGCTGGTGGCGGTGTAAACCAACCACAGCAGCGGCGCCACCGCTTTCGATACAGCTGATGCTACCGCCATGAGCTGCTGGCCGAGATGAGCTGTCGCAAGTTGGTAAAGCTGTGTGTGTGAGAAAAAGCCAGGATCGAGGATAAATAATGGAGTTGTGTACTTGTGTCTTTGTTTATGTGTGTTCTTTTTTCTTTTTTCTTTAGTGTAAATTACGAGAAGCCCCTATCGTGAAATTACAAAACAACCCCTCACCTATATGTAGTTATTAAAAAACCCCTAAAGTTTGTTGCGTCTTTTTTTTTTATAAGGAAAATAGTTACTGGTTCCCTAATTGCCCTCCTAGTGTCTCGAACCCATGATAAAATAGTCTTAGGTGCAAGGTATTTACCAAGAGGCTATCTTATCTTAAGTGTTCCGTCTTACATTGTCCATTGTGGTGTGAATTATGAATGGATCTTTTTTATTCAATGAAATATTCCTCAAAAATACATTTTCTCTAGGGGCTCTTTGATATAATCTCTTTCAATATTTCTTTAAATATGAAGAGACTCAAACTATTTTGCACCATTTGAGAAAAAACTTCTTTCAAATTTTAGTCATCCATTTTTCCAATTATGTGTCTGCGACCTCATCAACACTATCACCAATTATGTCCCTACCACCTCATCAGCCCTTTTTTTTTTATTTAATTAATTAATTAATTTTTATTATTTTTTAATTTTTTTAATTTTTTTTTTCGTTTTTTTTTTTATTTTTTTTTTCTCTATTGGGTATATTAAACGACTATGAAATATCATCATAATCGATTAAGGAACTGACTACTAAAAAAACACAACTATGTAAAAACGAAAATCGGCATTTTTTTTATATAACAAATAATATACATAAATTGCATTTGATTTATACAACTCGGAATCTACTAAAAAATCCAAAAATGAATTAAAAAATGAAATCAAGTAATCGACTACTAAAACAGTCGATTAACACTTTAATCGACTACCAAAAAACACACAGTCGATTAAAATAATCAACTACAAAAGAAACACATAGTCGATCAAGGGTCCAGCCTGCGCAAATTTCTCTACTCGTGCCGTCCTTCACCTGATCTACCAAGAAATCCTAGATCTGCTCCTCTTCGTCACCACGCCGCCACACCACACCATCACCACCACACTTCCAAAGTATGACGAGTTTTAATGAAAATAAAGTAAATTACAACTCGCACCACCAACCCAAACAAAACCACCACAAAAAACAAAGTCACTCAAACTCAATTTTCTTCATGACCACCGCCATATCCAAAAGAGACAGCAAAATTAAATTAAAAATCAATAACTTGTGGCGACGAAGAAGAAATCTTCGCAAACTCGACATACTATGAAGAAGGGGAACACTACTTGGGGTATTCGCGAGCGCGGGATCCTCCGCCGCGTCGTCGCCGTAGTCTCCGCCGTGGATTTCTATAAGTTGTTGGTCATTTAGGCCGTGGTGGTGAAGGGGGAGAGTGGTATGATATTTGTTGAGAAGAGAAGCAAGATAAACGGTGCAAAGGAAAAAAATGGTCTTGAAAAATGATAAATAACTAGGGTTAAAATAGTTATAATCAAATAAGGGTAGTTTCGGAATTATGAAAATATCCCTTTGATGGAATATAGCTAAAGAGGTTTTCTCTAATTATTTTTTGAAGATGGTGTTTCCTTAACTACATTTCCTAGATGTGGAGTTCTTGCTAATTTTCCCTTTTCTTTAACGGTTGGGGCAAGTGTAATATATTTGGGAAAATTACAGTTCTCATCACTCAAATTTGCATCAATTTCACATTTGGTCCCTCGTGTTCATAAAAACACATTTGTTCCCTCATGTTTATATATATATATATATATATATATATATATATATATATATATATATATATATTTGTGTTCTCGGTGTAGTGTGTGTATTCTTTTTTAGTATGTGTTTTCGGTGTATTTTGTGTGTATTTTTTGTTTGTTTTTGGTGTATTGAATGTATTTTTTTGAGTAAGTGTTTTCGGTGTAGTGTGTGTTTACGGTTTAGTGTATGTTTTTTTTATTGTATATTTTTTTTTCCACTGTATAAATTTGCAAACAGTACTCTGTAAAAATATCTAACTGCAAAACCAGTCCCTGTAATATAAAATATTACTCAAACCCCTGTATAATTTTAGTCAAAAGGCATTTCCCCCTAAGCTCGAGTTCGTGTTGCTTACTCGCGGCTTGTGCGGCTGGTATCTTGCATAAAAGACAAAAATACCCCTCTCTTAACACAAAATTTTGGGGTTTTTTTTAGCAAAAATCACCTCTGTGTAATCTCAAATTGCTGAAAAAGACTTCATGTTAAAACAATTAGCAAATACCCCCTATAAAAACTAGTCAAAGGCAATAAGGCCCTTGAAGCTGACAGTGCACTTCACTCGCCATGAATGCGAGTGGGGGTCCGTTTTATGACACAAAAATACCAAAATGCAACCAGAAATTTCATAAGTACCAAAATGAAGTTTTTAAGATTTTCAATTGAGTCCCTTATATTTTCAATTAAACCCTCTTCTTCAACTTAGCATCCCCCACTTTTTCATCATAATTTTTTCCAGTAAAAACTATCAACCAAACTCAGGCCTGAGCATGAAGTTCATTTCTATTCTAAATCCAAGAAAACAAAAGAGAAAAAATACAAAAACACTTCAATGCACGTTCTTCCAATTTCCATAGCATTTGCTTCCAATTTGTGAAACTTAATTCGTATCCTGAGAAGGAAGAAGAAGAAGAATCTCAAACTCGAAGAATCATTTGCCGTCGATGCACAGTCAGTCAGCACTCCGCCTAACTCGAAGCTGACTCTCCAATTCCATCATGCCGCCGTCATTGCCTTTGAATGCCACCACCGCTACTATAGCTTCTGAATCCACAATTTCCTGTTGGGAAAATTGGTTAAAAATTAAGTCATGAACAATTTTTGATCAATGTTATTGTATGGTCTAATTGATTATATAAATCAACTTTTGGATTAGATTAATATAAAACCAATTTTGTGGTGAACGAAAAATTACTAGTCCAAAATATAAGGAAAGTGGATTTTGAGTTATCCCACATTGGAAAAGTAGGGAAGTATTGAGCTATTTATATATCTAAATGTTGGTACTAAGGGTCACGCCCTTTGGGCATACAAATTTGTTTGGGAGAAATGCCTATACGTTATGAGTTTTGAATCGTGCCCACACGCGCACCGTCGCCGTCCGCTGGGCTTGGCTCGCTCGCTCACTCGTACGTACGGATTTGGGCACGGTCCCAAACCACTATATTATTTTTTGGGCAAAAAACATTAGGACATGGGCCGTCAACTCATTGGACTCTTCCTTACCGAAGCCCATTTCGAATATGGTCTGACTGGTTTGAATTGGTACGGCCGAACCAATGCAACAACTCGAAGTAGTGCAACCGATTCGGCCCAAACGACTCCTTCGCCGATACAGCACATATCTGGTGTTTATGCACCTTTTGCTCCAAAGGACATTACATTTCAAACCTTATAAATAGACCCAGTTATTCCCATAATTCCTCACTTCAATCCAAAAAAGCCTACTTCATATTTAGCCTACCCATTACGGATTCTCTCGAAAAGTTCTACACAAAGTACAGTTCGCCGTACTTGGGATTTGGAGCGCTCCTATTCCAAGTCTTTGCCGTTGTATCTTGGGAGACGATTTCCATTCAAACCGTTAGCACCGTTGCGGGGAAATTTCGTCTTAAGGACAGAAATCACTCGCCTCGGCAAATTCTTTTATAGCAGATTACTCCAACATTTCCATCGACCGAAAATTGCCGTCGCGAAACCTTTTTCATCCGATCTGAAAAAAAAAAAAAGAAATCCCCGCCCACTATTGTCACCAACCATTCTTCTCTGTTTGTGTGACATTTTTTTTCATTTTTTTTTAAATTGAAAATTACTAAAAACTTATTAGGGTTAGTTTAGTCAATACATACAAGTCAACCATCAATTTTGAAGTAAGGACCGGTGTCCTTCGTAAAATACAATATAGGGGGTTCTTGCTAATATTTTTAACACGACTACTTTTTCGGCAATTTGAAATTACACAGCAGGTTATGGGGGGACCAAAAGTAGAGTCTGGACAAACATAAGGGGTGAAAAATGTAATTCTCCCATTTTTGGGTTCTTCTTTTTCCCATTCTTCCTTTTTTTTTTCCTTCCTTGATTTAAGTTTTCTTCTAATTTGTTGCCCTTTTTATTTGGGCATTTAAATGAATTAGGATTGTGGGTTTCGTGCTTAAGCTCGAGGCTCAAGAATAATAATGGAGTTTAAATATATAATGATGTCTTAATTCTTACGTCTAGTAGTACACCAGTGTTTCGCGCGGTTACAAGTTTTGTACAAGTGTTTCTATATAAAAAAATGGGGATTAATGGAACTGTTAAAACCAAAAGGGAAAATTACAATTATCACCCCTCCAATTTGCACCAATTACACATCTGGTCCCTCATGTTTCAAAAATATTCAAGTTCAACACTTTTAGTATTTTTTATCAATATTCCGTTAGTACTAATGGAATCAAGCATGTGCCCATCACTACTTTAAGTGACGGACTAACAGTAAATTGACGAAAATGACCTAATGTTAAATTATTGAAACTCGTGGGACCAATCATAAAAGAGAATTCTTGCTCGTGTATTTGGTTTTGCGCTTTATTACTCCACCAATTAGATCAGTCCATGTGGAATGAGTATCAATAGTAATTAGATAATTAGGTGAGTGGAATGACAAAAGGAATTACATGCTTGAAAATTCATATGAATAATTAATTAGGTTTTGGAGTTGAATTTTTTGCATGAACTTTTTATTAGGGAATTGATTTTGAAAAAAAATAATGAATCCCCAATATGTTTTAGGAGATTTGGAAATCAACAATATATAATATGATATTTAAAATTTAGTGGTTATAATATGATCATTATTGAAACTCTTTACACTTAAAAAACAAAATTATTATTAATTAATTAATTGATTATTTGAAACAGAATAATTAAATATATATTCTAACCATCCCATGCTTGAACTTTTATAGGCGAAGATGATGACTCATCATCATAGCTTAGGTAGA